ATTACAACGTCATCATTGCATGGGCTTTAAGATTTTTTTTTGCTTCGTTCACGAGCGAATTACCCTGGATAAGTTGTAACAATTCATGGAACACTCCAAATTGCAGACTGGTAAGTACAATTAACACGAATTATCACTGGAAAACTGGAAAAAAACTTTAATAAAAAAAATTTTTTTTTTTTTTTTTTTAGCTGGAAGTTAACGCGTGGATGGATAATGGAACATTTGATTATATGGGAAATTCATCTGATACGGAAATAAAATTAGAAAATTATACTTCTGCTGCTTCCGAATATTTCACGTGAGTATTTTTTTTTTTTTTAAAACCATTTTTTAACGGTTGATGACGGTTTGTAGTTTTTCTTTATGATTTCCAGACGGAAAATTCTAGAACTTGATAAAAGCTCCGGATTGGATAATCTTGGAACGATTAAATGGGATATTGCATTATGTTTATTTGCCGTTTACGTTATTTGTTATTTTAGTTTATGGAAAGGGATTTCAACATCTGGAAAGGTATGTGTATACAAAACAACAAATTTTCCAGTTGTTAATCGTTTTCATTAATAATAATAATAATTATTATTTTTTTTATTATTATAATTAGGTCGTTTGGTTTACCGCATTGTTTCCATATATAGTTCTTTTAATACTTTTCATACGTGGAATAACACTTCCTGGATCCGTTCAAGGAATTAAATATTATTTAAGTCCTAATTTTTCTGTTATTACGAAAGCAGAGGTAAAAATAGTTTTCATAAATTTATTTCTAGCAAAATAATAATAATAATAATAATAATAATGAATTTTACCGTTTAGCGTTTAGAAAATTTTATAACGTAAACGTATATGAAATCGAAAGAAAAAATGGATTTTACCGTTTTTTTTTTTTTTTTTTTTCTGGAGAGATTTTAAGAATGAAAAAAGAAAAAAAGGAAAATTCGTCTTTAAAATAGTGCTTTGGTAAATATTTTATGTAAAATGTTATAGAAAAAAAAAAAAAAAAAAGTCACGACGAATTCAGAGAATAAAAAATTTCTAAAATGGAAATATCATGTTTTTTTTTTTTCTATCAACGTGTTTCGCTTAAATACATAATTTCGGATTTCTTAAATTTAAATTCAAAAGTTTCCCAACCGTTTCATAAATAAAAAAATTTTCATTTTTTTTCAAATAGGAGTAGTAGTGTATGATTTTTTAAATTTCCGGTTTCTTTCACATGGAAATTTATTTTAGAATTAATTTAAATTAATAATAAATAAATAAAATGCCACGTAATTAAGTGAAAAAAAGCGTAATTAATTTATTAACATTATTATTATTATTATTATTTTGGATTTTAAACGCGTCACAGGTTCAATGAACTTGACAACAACGATTTTCTCACCCGTCATTTTGACGTGATTTTATAAAAAGTGAATTTTTTTATAAATTTCTGTCGTTTTTTTTTTTAAAATAATTTTCCTTTCAAAAACTTCATTCGAAATTTTCCAGGTTTGGGTCGATGCAGCAACTCAAGTTTTTTTTTCTCTCGGACCTGGATTTGGTGTACTTTTGGCTTACGCTTCTTATAATAAATATCATAATAATGTTTATCAGTAAGATAATTAATTAAAGTTTTAATAAATTATTATTTCATATTTTTTTTAAAATAATAATAATAATTATTATTATTATTTAATAGGGATGCGGTTATTACGAGTGTCATCAATTCCGTCACGAGTTTCATTGCTGGATTTGTTATATTTTCCGTTTTGGGTTATATGGCACACGTGACCAACAGATCCATACAAGAAGTTGCGACTGAGGGTCCAGGTTTGGTTTTTGTTGTTTATCCTGCGGCAATTGCAACAATGCCTGGAAGTGTTTTTTGGGCATTGATTTTTTTCATGATGCTCCTAACATTAGGATTGGATAGTTCGGTAAAATGATTATGAATTTATTCAAACATTTCACACTGATATACTTTCACGTTAGTAATTATTTCTAATTTTTTAGTTTGGCGGATCGGAAGCCATTATAACGGCTCTAAGCGATGAATTTCCATTAATTGGTCGGAATAGAGAAATATTCGTTCTTTGTTTATTTACCGTGTACTTTTTAGTAGGTTTGGCTTCGTGTACTCAGGTATGTCATCACGTGCAATATTTATTTCTTCGCCGATGAAAGCACTCACAATAATTTTCATTTTTTTTTTAGGGTGGCTTCTATTTTTTTAATCTCTTGGATAGATATGCTGCCGGTTATTCAATGTTATTTGCCGTACTATTTGAATCTATTGCCGTTGCTTGGATTTATGGTATGGTACCTTAAATTTACCCCATTAAAATTTTATATTTTTTCTACTTTTATTATATTAATTATTTTTTGTTTAGGTAACAAAAGATTTTGTGATGATATTAAAGACATGATCGGTTTTGTTCCTGGAATGTATTGGCAAATTTGTTGGAAATTTGCTGCTCCCGTTTTCTTGCTGGTGATTAATCCTGCTGGTATAAGAGATGTTAATATTTTAAAATGGCACAAAATTTGAAATTTTTCTTTTTTTTTAGTTTATCATAGTTTATGGTCTTGTGGGTTACGAACCCTTATCCTACGAACATTATATTTATCCTTCTTGGGCAAATGCAATCGGTTGGGTCATTGCTGCATCCAGCATGTGTATGATACCTGGAATGGCCGCTTATAAATTAATCGTAACTCCGGGAACGTTCAAACAAGTAAAATAAATTCTTTTTTAAAAAAAATGTTTGTAATTGAAGATGTTGTATTAAAACATCAAAATGTAAATTTTGTTCCTTTTAGAGAATAAAAAAATTAACAACGCCATGGAGGGACCAACAAGTGATTGCAGTTAATGGAGTTTCATCAGATGCTAACCAGATTAAATTAAGTAGTATTGAAGTTAATAGTCAGGCTGTTTAAAAACTCCAATTTATATTATAATTATTAATTTTTAAAAATATCTGCTGTTGTAAATTTTTTACTCTTGTATTTATTAAAGCAGTACAATTATTTCAGAATCTCAAAAAAAAAAAAAAAGTATTATTTCAAACTTTGGTTAATAAATCACAGAATCTTTTAAAAGTAATTTTCCGCCATTTTTTTTTTTTTCAATGTAAATTTAGCCCTTTTAATTTACTGCATAAATACATCAACTTAAAGCATTTATTAATCAATAATTATAGTAGAAAAATTATTTTATTCTATTATAATTCTACTTTTATAAATGATATTAAATTTTTTATTAAGGATACAATAATTTTATTTTTATTATATTAAAATATTTTAATAAATAAATACTTAATGAATGTTGCTTACATATATATATATATATCAATAGCATAAATGGTTATGTATTTGTCGTTTAGAGTAAACAAAATATATATAATTAGTAGGAGGTTAATTTCAAAAATAGTAAATATTTAAATATCATTATCACAAATTATAAACAAATAACTAATTTAAAAAAAAAAAAAAAAACTCATAAAAATACTGCATAAAAATAATAATAATAAAGTCCGTAAAGAAAAAATTATACATTTTAGTTTTAGTTTAGTTTAAGATAATAATAATTAGATTGTTATGCTAAAATTATGAATTATGTAAATCAAAAAATAATCAATACTCTTTAATAATGTATTATTATATTTATTATTATTATTATTATCACTATCACCACCTGCTTACATTCATAAAAGAAAAAATATTTTTAAACAATTGGAAGTGAAATTTCTTGTCTCTAATAAAAAAAAAAAAAAATGTCCAAAAATATTACAACAATCAAAAAATTGTCCAGATTATTTATTAATTAATTATTAAATCAAAAACTTTTCCAACTATTAAAACATAATAATAATAATAATAAAATAGTATTTAAAAATGTAAAAGATATAATTTAGATTTAAAAAAATAAATAATAATAATAATATTACTTATGTTAAAATTTAGTTAATTGCATTTTAATAATTAATTTATAAGAATATGTAAACAAATTATATAATACTGCTCGAAGATACAATAATTAATAAAAAATTAATTAATTAAATAAATAATTATTATTAAACGAATAATATTTTTATATATATATTAAATAAATATATAATAATGCATTTTTATTATGTGTGTAAGAAAAAAATTTTGTACCCGAATTAAAATTAACGAAATTACATAATAAATAATTTTATAAATGAAAAAAAAAAGGATATGTATAGTAATTAATTAATATTTTTAAGTTAAATAAATAAATCACCAAATCAGTCATTTTGGTGATTTATAAAAAAAATTAATATAATTTATAATAAAATAATATAAGTTATTAAAAATAAAAAAGTTTATAGATAATTATATATATAAGTAATATTTTATGTATAATATATTCAAACAAAAATGGCTTCTTTACATTTATATATAACTTATGCTTTTTTACATAACAAAATTAATTAAATTTATAAATAAAAAATTAATTTATTTATTTTTGAGTACTTAATAATTATTTATTATTATTATTATTATTTCATTTTGTTTCTTTTTCTCTTGTTTTGTACTTAATCCAAAATTTATTTAAAACATGTTTTTTGTTTTGTTGTTGTTGGAGTTTACATAAAAAATTTTCCACAATCTTTTGTTTATTTTAAAAGAAAAGTTTTATTAATTTAATTTTTCTAAATAATAATAATAATAATAATAATAATAATAATAATAATAATAATTTAAATTATTTGATATTGTATTCATGTGTATAAAAGCTTTAAAAAAATTCAATTGTTATAGTGCTTATTTTTTATTTTCTTTTAAAGTTTATTTATTAAGTTTTAAAATGGTTTATTATTATTATTATTATTATTATTATTATTATTATTTTAATTTGTCATGTTGATATTATTTTAATAAAATGTAAATAAACTTGAATTTCATTTATCAGCCATGTATGCAAATTCAAGTTTTCTACATTTTTATCATTAATAAAAAAAAAATTTTGTTTTAACTTTTAATAATTGTTTTTGTATGTAATACTAATTATGTTAATTTTACTTGACAAATTAATCTTTGAAATATTTATTCATCCAATTTAAACATTTATTTATTGATTCATCTAATACTTGAGGTGGAATAGGTTTTGTTTCCAACCAATGTTTTTTACCCTCAGCATATGCATCAAAATTAGGAGGTGAAATTTTAAATTCATCAAAACCTGAAAGTAATCTCCAATATCCTGACATTGTGTCACATAAAAATTCATCATCATCGTCATACCTGGTTTCTAATTTAGACTTTTCTTCTTCATCTTTTTTAATCACACCAGTAGATTCTTTTACCTCTTGGTCCATTTCAAAATTAAATAATGGTGCGTGTAAGGATTCATATTTTTTTTTTATGTCTTCTGATAAAGGATAAAGTTCTTCATCTGAGGGTTTTTCATCAGAGGTTTTATTTTCATCGACACTAAGTAAATTTTGTTTTTTTATATAGTTTACTGCAGATTTAAATTCTTTTGAAAAACCAAATGCGCTATAAAAATCCTTACCATATCTCTTTTCAGTATTCATCTTGTTTTCCATTTCGGGACTTAAAAAAACGTACGGAAATGGAATCGGTAATTCTAAATTTTTATTTTCAACTTTTTGTAGATCGTCAAAAAGTCTCGTACATGATTTTAACATTTTTAATGTGTTCGGCCCATAAGGTCAATTTTGATCCGTTTCATTATTTTTAGCCACTCTTTCATAATTATCCAAAATAATAGGTTGAGGTACCTTATTATAAACATTTATTGAACTCATTTTTTTAAGGTATAAGTTAAAACACTCTTGTCTACTACCAAACCAAAACCAAATATTGATCAAACTTTGAATTCTCTCCATACTACTTAAGTTTATGATTTTTGGAAATAAAATTTTAGATGCAATTTAATAAGTAAATCAATGAATGGTATACAAGAAGAAAAGAAATGTTTTTTTTTTTTTTTTAATTTTCAATGTTAAATATTAATTTTTAACTTTATTACAAGGTGTACATACATTTTCCCGCCAAAAATTTTTAAACTAATTTTAAAATGTTAAGTTGTACAAACTGTATTTTGTAAACATTAACCATGAAATTATCTAAAAATTTAAAAAATTTTCCCTTTCAAGTATTGTGTAGCATTTTTTATTATTATTTTCAGGGATGATTATGATGTAGTAAATCAAAATAATAATTAATTATCTGTAATCGTTTATATTTTTCTAATTTTTTGATATTTATATAAAAATTGTGCTAATGTTTTAAAAATTAAAGTATGACAATGTTAACTGAGCCAAGTAATAGCAACAGCGAAGTTATTGTTGCGACAGGAGGTTATGATCATACAGTAAAATTATGGCATGCTAAAACAGGTGTATGTCAAAGAACTTTTCAACATGCAGGATCTGTATCCTTTATAAAATTAATTACTAATTAAATAATTACAATTACCACAACTTTTTAAGGTATTTCTGAAGATTGAAACAATACTTATTTACTCTAAAGTAATTTACTTGTTTTTAACTTTTATCATAATTATCCTAGTACATTCAAAAGTTTTTTTATATTTTAAAGTCCTTAATTTATTGAAAAAGCAAGTTAATGATCTTGAAATCACACCTGACAAACAAAGAATTGCTGCTGCAGGATACCAAGAAATATTAATGTATGAACTTAATTCAAAGAATCCAAATCCAGTAATAAATTACGAAATGGTGTCAAAAAATGTTACTAGTGTGGGCTTTCAAGAAGATGGTAAATGGATGTACACTGGAGGAGAAGATTGTAGTGCAAGAATTTGGGATTTAAGGTCAAGAAATTTACAATGTCAAAGAATTTTTCAAGTTTCTGCTCCTGTCAATTGTGTAAAATTGCATCCGAATCAATCGGAATTAGTTGTAGGAGATTTAAGCGGAGTAATTCATTTATGGGATCTGAAGACTGATCATAATGAACAATTAGTAAATTATTTTAAATTCTTTTTGTTGCAAATTTTTTTGATACATAAATCTTCTGAATTTTCACTAATTTAATTGTTTTAGATACCGGAAGCAGAAGCTTCAATTCAGGACATTTGCATTGATCCTGAAGGCTCTTATATGGCAGCTGTAAATAATAAAGGACATTGCTACATTTGGTCTTTGACAAACAGTGGAGGAGATGAAAGAACTAAACTTAATCCAAAACATAAAATTGTAGCTCATAACAAATATGCTCTTAGTTGTGTGTTTAGTCCTGATTCTACATTATTAGTTACCACTTCAGCAGATCAAACAGCTCGAGTATGGAAAACTGCTGACTTTTCACTTTATCAAGAATTAAAACTTGAGGGCCAAAGATGGGTTTGGAAAGCTGCTTTAAGTGTGGATTCTCAATACATATTAACAGGTTTGTTAAAATATTCATACTTCAAATTTGAACTAGAATGATTGTTTTTATGTCGTAAAATAATCTTATTAACATAAATTATAGCATCTTCTGATGGGATCGCTCGGCTATGGAATGTAGAAACTGGTAAAGTTAAAAGAGATTATAATGGCCATCAAAAAGCTATAACTGCTTTAGCATTCAGAGATGAAGCGTTACCATGAAATAAAGCAAAACATTAAATGAAGATTTGGTGGATGTAACTTGATAAAAAAATTTATTCAGCTCACGATAAATTTAAAGTTGCCTGTGGGCTTGTATTAACTTTATTATCTTTTTGTGAATTGACTATTATTTAAAAACAAGTTTTATTAGTTTTCTTTGAACTCTAAAATGTATTAATAAAGTCAATGTTAAGTAATAAGTAATCGTAAGGATATTAGTTGTAAATTTTTTAAGATTTATAAATTAAAATAAAGTCTGGCACTTTAAAAATTAGTACTATTTTTAAATTTTATTTATTTTTCACCTTTAAATGTATAATTTTTAAATAGAAAATTGTGATCATTATTATTTAATTATAGCTTTTTATAAACTTTAAAAGAAAGACAAAGGAATACCTACTTATGTAACTTTTTTAAGTGATTATATTATTATAATTATTATCAGTCTGATTTTCAAAGTGATACTTTACTCATAAATTTAAGTAGTACTCGTGAGCCCATTTAATCAGGGAGTTACATCTCAACAAGTTTCAATTCAAAATTTGTTTATTCGATTTTAACAAATATATATATGGAATTGAAAAATTTTTTTTTTTTGGTAAAAAAAATAATTTAAAATATAATTTATTAAATGAATATATAAGAATTAATACACTACATAAGTATATTAATAAAAAAATTATGAAATCGAATTTACCAACTAACTCTTAAATTAAATAAAAATATTAAAATGAATATTTTATTTGTAGTAAGTAACAGAATAATAATGTTTAAATAACATTTATTGCGTCTTATGTATACATAATATATATAAATAGCGTGCTTTAAAGCCTAATACCATTCTACTGAAATAATAACAAATTTTTTTTATTTTTTTTTCATTAAACTAATTTAGAGTTTTTTTTTAACGATTTAAACGTCAAATAATTTTTACAAAAATTTTAAAGATGAACGATTATTACGTCATCGTCATCACATTCGTACTAATTTTATTAATCTAAATCGTAACTATGTATATATATATATTTTATTGATAAAAATCATAACTTAAATAAAACTCTAATACCTTTCTATAAATGCGTTAGAAATAATAACGTATCTATATAAATATATTTTCATATAAATAGTGTTTAAGTAATTAATTAATTAATAATAAATAATAATAATAATAATAAATTTTTACTTTTATGTGAAAGCAGTAACGATTTACTAAAAAGCAAAACATTTAAAAAAAACATTTTTCGATTTCGATATTATGGTGAGTTGGCCAAATCTTCAACTTCTCCCATTTCTGTAAATGATTCACCATCCATCGTGTAACTAATCATACATTTTAAATTTACTTTAATTCGATTTGGATTTGCTATCAACATGATTTGAGTTATTGCTGATGGAGGTAAAAATGGATTGTGTGCAGGTAATTCAGATCCAGAAGGTTGTTGAAGTTTTAGTTTACAACTCTAAATAAAAAAATAATAATAAATCAAATTAAAATTGTTTTTTTATTTGAAACAAATGATGATGATGATGATGATGATGATGTGATTTTTAAAATTACCTTAGGTACAACGGCTTGAAACAGGTAGTTAGTTAATGATGATGAATTTTTACTAAGGGTAGTTATAACAAAAACAGTCACATCTTCTCTTGGAGTATCTTTTGCAACATGAATCGTAACTGAAATCCCATTTTTTTCTTCAATTAAATTTATCGGAGGGATAGAACTCGGTTTAATATTGTCTAAAGATATAAAAATGTCTGTCAGAGATTTTATGTCTTCTTTTGTTTTGGAGTCAACTGTGTCTGATGATTTTTCATTTTTTTCAGGTGATGTAACTTTATTTAAGAGATCAGTGGATTTATCATTCTTTTCACAAACTTCTGTGTCTATCGATTTATTTTTAATTATTGTATTCGATGAACCTGTATTTTCAGTATCGAGACAAAGGATGTTTGTATCATTTTTACTGAAAAAAAAAAAAAATTTTCATTTTTTTTTTTTTTTTTTTTTTTATATTACTACAAACATTTTAAAATATTTATTTTTGAATAATATATAAATCTTACTTTGGGTTAGCATTGACTTTACACTGTTGCAATAATGTTTCACTCAATATATCTAATTCTTTTAAAGCTTTTAATTTATTATTTTTTTGTAACGTTATAACTTTTTCTGGTTTAGGCTGATGATCAAGCATTTGACAACCTAAAGGTTCTAAACTATTATTACTTTGGTAACTCAGTGATGAAAAAACAGCATCCAAAGAATTTTTTGATGACTTATTTTCACATATTATCGGTTCTAAACTTTCTGTATTTGAAATTATCGAAGGCAAAGAATTCATATAATTTGAACCTACAATAAATAATGAAATTAAATTTTTTTTTTTTTTTTTTTTTCCAAGATCTATTTGCCATTTTTATATTAAGTTTTTGAAATTGATATTTTAATGATCAAAAACTATTTTAAGAAATTATTTATCTACTTGAGAATTATTTTAAGAAATCAGGAGAGCAGAATCCAGTCATATGAAAAAAAAAAAAAGAAAAAAAAAGTTTTATAGAAGTAGAAATAATTTTTAATAAATTAAAAAATTTTACATAAAAAATAAATTTAATTTTTTCATTACCTGTATTTGGAATGGGTTTACATAATATATCTTCATAATTTTCATTGGATTCTAGAGAAAGAGGCACAATATCATTAATTGGAGAGCTTAAATCCAATAAAGCAGGCATATTTTTAGATTCTTCACCGATAAATGAATTGAAAGATGATGATTTTTTTTCAGAGATAATTGTATTATATTTTTTCAATACCTGATCCAATTCATCATCTACAGATAAAACTTGATTTAAAAACTCATCATTGTCTTGAACATCTGATGCAAGTCTCATAATATTTGGTTTAAGTCTTTCACAGCTGAGATGCAATTCTTTAATTAAATCAAATTCATCACTAGATGAGGAATCAGGTTTATAAGTCTCCAACATTTCACTAAGTAATCTGACATTGTTTCTAATTGTTTCTATTTCACTAATTCTTTTACTTTTAATTTCAACTCTCTTTTCATCTTCTCTTACCATAGTTTTAATTAGTCTATTGGCAGCTTGAAGATCATCTGGATTTTTACTGTGTAATAATTTTTGTAATAATCTTGCCTTTTCTTCATCTTCAAAAAGTGTGTTTTCTTTTTGAGGTAAGTGAACCACCGAAGAAGCTTTTGAATTTCCCTCTGTGGAGTTAGAATTTTTCTCAATGACTCCTTGCTTGATAAGCATGTCATAGGCTTCTTTTATCTTATGCTCTTTAGGATAATGTAATGTCCAATCGTGCATCATTTTTAAAACTTCATTTCTTACAGATACAGGAGTTTTTGGTCCCAAAAACTTAGGGGATACTAGTTTAATCATTTCATTTAGAAATCTAAATTTTCCAATTTCAGAATGAAAAGATGATCCACAATTTTTCATGCATGTCTCCAGTACTCCAAGACCCTGTAATGCTTCCCATTCTTCTGAAGATTGAATTTTGGAAGCAATTAATTTTGCAGCTATCCAAGGCCCTTCAGGTTCTTTTTTAATTATTCCACAAAACGCTTCAATTGCAGCTGTGTCAGTAGCTTTATTTCTAAAATCAGTAGCTCGTTCTGAAAATGACGTAAAAGAATTATTGAAAAAGAAACCTTTTAAGCGTTAAAAAATCTACCAAATGATTATTAAAGTCAATAAAAATATTTTATTGAATAAAATTTTGTATCCTGATTCACGACATACAATACAATGTAAATAATAAACATATTACAAAGTAAAAATCATAAATATTTCATTATGAATCCCTCCCAGTAACAGAAATTTAAAGGGAAGCGGTAAATATCTTTTTCCCGATTTAAAATTTTTGTTGTTTTCCCGAAATTCACAAATAATATTTTTAATTAAAATTTGAAATACACTTTAATGAAGTACACGGCATAAATTATACTTGAATATATGTAAACAAATGAGATAAAAACTTACGAAGAAGAGCTTCTAAACTAGTTTCTGTTATGACGTCCATTTTTTATATTGAACTTTAATGTCTAAAATACACAACACGTGATGCTGCTTTTAAACACCAGAGAGCCCTAATGTCATGTTTATTAAAAATGTGTTATGGATGATTAGTACGGTTAGTTAAAATTTAAAAAAAAAAAAATGTGGATTAAATTTCTACTGATCATTCAAATCTTAATGATTTAAAAAAAAAAAAAAAAAATTTACTAATGTAATTTTAATCAATGTTAAATCTATAATTTTTTTTTTTTTTTTCATTAGATTACATAATTAATAGAGTAACTATTAAGATATTTTTTATAATTATTTCTTTAATTTTAATGAATTAAAATGGAACACACAGAAGAATCTAATGATTTAAATGATAGAGAAAAACAATTTACGGATTGTGTGACTGATTTAACCGAGGGTTCTGAAAACCATTCTCTAATAAATGAAGCAAATGATGATCCTTATGCATATGTTACCAGAAATGATTTTACATCAGAAAAGTTCAAAGTTGAAATTAAAAATCTTCCAAAATATTTTGGAGTTAAAGCAAGTATCATATTTTTAAAAAAAAATTACATTAAACAAATTAAAATAATATTTTAATAACAATTTTTCAATTTCTGAGTGTCCTGCACATCCCTCTTAAAAATAAGAACTTTTTTACAAAATTATTTTTCAGGAATTAAAAAAATTATTAAATGTAAAGCTAAAATTGAATCCTTCAAAAATCAAGTTGCCACAAAACACTCAGAGAAGATCTTGGGTTTATGTTTGTTTTAAATCTGAAGAAGAAAAATTACATGCTTTAAAAACATTAAATAATTATAAATGGAAAGGTTTAAATTTAAAAGCAGGAGAAGCAAAACCTGTGCCTGATCCACTTGTAAAAAAAAGAAATCTTGCTTGCACAGATGAAGACGATAAAAGTAAAAAACCGAAACTAGACAATAATGAATTGTTTTTAAAAGTTGAAGATGCTACAACTCCATATTGGCAAATCCCTTATGAAAAGCAGGTAATTTTTATTAAAGAAATTTTAAATGTTAATAATTGAGAATAAAAAAAAAAAACACAAATAAAATATAATTTACAAAATAGCAATCAAATTTTTATTCGTTATTTATTAAATTAATAAGCTAGAAAAAAAAACGCATCTTATCGAAGAATTATTAAAACAATATGGAAATAAATTAGTGAAAGTAAATCCAAAAGTTTTAAACTGGTGGCTATTGCAAAAGGCAAAATATAATGGTTTACCATGTGAATTATTTCCAATTAAATATTCTGATGTAATTAATGGCTACAGAAATAAATGTGAATTTTCAATAGGTAAATAAATAAATACTTTTTTTTTTTGTTAATACATAATATAAATTTAATCCTTGTAGATTATTTTTCAGTTAAATACTTATTTGTTTTAGGAATAAATAAAGAAAATGGAGAAAAAACGGTTGGATTTCGTCTTGGAAGTTATGCTCAAGGCTCGACTAGTGTTGCACCAGTTGATAATGTTCCTAATGTACCACAACAGATGAAAGATGCTGCTAAAATTTTTCAGAAATTTGTTCAGAATTCTGAATATGATGTTTTCAATTATGAATTAAATCAAGGTATTTTTATATAATTTATATATTAATTATATATTTTATAGAAAATTTAAAATTATAATTGTAAAAAAAAATAAATTTTTAGGACATTGGAAACAGCTTACTGTTCGATATGGGTTTAGGACAAAAGAATTGATGATAATTATTGGAATCGTTCCACAAGAATTGACTCAGGCTGATTTAAGTCTCATTAAAAATAATATATTGAATTATTTTGTCGAAGGGGAGGGAAAGTTGTGCCAAGTTAAATCATTGTATTTACAATTAATGAAAAAGAAAAGGACACAAAATGATGAAGTTTTATACGAACATCTATTCGGAGAAACTTACATAACAGAAAAAATTTTAGGAAAAACTTTTAGAATTTCTCCTCAAGCTTTTTTTCAGATAAATACTAATGTAGCTGAAATATTATATGACTCTATAGCTGAACTTTCTGAATTATCAAAAGATGTTACATTATTAGATGTTTGCTGCGGTACCGGTTCTATCGGTATATGTTTATCCGATGTAAGCAAATAAAAAAGTAAAAAAAAAACTTGATCCAAGTTGAAAATTTCTTATTCTTATTATTATTGTTATTTTAGAAATGTGGAGAAGTTTTAGGTCTTGAAATATCATCTGAAGCTATAGCGGATGCAAAAGCAAATGCAGAATTAAACGGTGTAAATAATACGCAGTTTTTCAGTGGAAAAGCAGAAGATATTCTCAATTGTGTGGCTTTAAAAGCAACAAAGAAAGAAATAATTGCAGTTGTTGATCCACCAAGAGCAGGCCTTCGTAAGATGAAAATACATTCCTTGACTTTTTTTTTCATCTAATTTAACAACGAATATCAAATTTATTTATTTTTTAATTTTGTTATTGATTTTTTTAGAAAGTGAAGCTTTAATACAAATAAGGAAAAATAAACTTATAAAAAAGTTAATTTACGTTTCCTGTGATCCCAAGGCAGCCATGAAAAATTTTTTAGATCTGGGTAGAGCTGCATCTAAAATTTACAGAGAGGAAGCTTTTTTACCAGTAAAAGCTATTCCCGTAGATCTTTTCCCTCATACGAGCCATTGTGAGCTGGTTATATATTTCGAAAGAATCGGAGAAGACGAAGTTTAATTTAAAATAAAATATTATTTGAAAAAAAAATGTGTATTATTTGCTTTCCTTAGAATTTAATTTTCTACATAATAAGAAATATTATTGTGGGGATCATTCTCTTTTGGAGGGAAAAAGAAAACAGTGAAAACCAAAAAAAATTATTTTTAACTATTTTCCTTCTTTTTTTTTTTTTTTTAAATTTTAAATGATTGAAAATTACGAAAATGACTTTGAGGTTGATGTATTGAAAAAAAAAAAAATATAATTAAATAATTTTTTTATCAGTATTCTGATATGATTCATAAAAATCAATAAGCTTTTGATTTAAAGATGGTTTATATTCACTTAAAACTTTTTCAAAATGACTCTGATAAATAAATTCAGGACTCATTTCATTATCACTAAGAGCACTAAGACCACTTTCTTGACAAATATTTCTTAAATCTGCTCCAGAATAAAATTCAGTATGTTTTGCTAAGAGTTCTAAATTTACAGTTTCATGCAAAGGCATTTTTTTAGTTAATTTATTTAAAATTTCAAGCCTATCACTTTCACTCGGTGGGGGTATATATATTAACCTATCGAAACGACCTGGGCGTTTAAGTGCATCATCCAGCATTTCCGGATGATTAGTTGCACCTATTACTATGACACTGTTTCTTTTATAACCTTCAGACTTTTCTGAAGTATCTGTTTCACAGTACTCATTTAACACATTATTGTTTTGAGCAAAAGTTCTTGTGCTAATTCCATCCATTTCAATGAGAAGGGTTGACAAAATTCTTTCTTGAACACCATGCTCTCTGTCCCCTGATTTACTTCCAACAATGGCATCTACAATTTTTATTATTTAAATAATATACAGTGAAAAATATTTTGTGAAAATTTTTCTTAAAGACAAAAGAAGAATTATTTTTATCTTACCGATTTCATCGATAAATATAATTGCAGGTGAACCAAATCTTGCCTTTTCAAAAAGCTGTACAATTTTTTTTTCAGCATCTCCAACATATGGTGAGTATAAATCTGCAGCTGAAGTAGCAAGGAAAGTCGTTTGTGCTTCTTTTGCAAGAGCCTTTACTAATATAGTTTTTGCACATCCCGGTGGTCCATACAGTAAAAGTCCTTTTGTCATTGAAACACCAAGTTTTTTAAACTTTTCTGGATATTTAAGTTGCAGTATTACTTCTAATTCTAATATTTTTTTAATCTCATCCAAACCACCAATTTCTGAAAGAGTTATATCATTTGTTAAGCACAAACCTATTGCTCCTTTTAATTCAGATGGAATAATTTTGGTAAGTGCTTTCCTAAAACAGTCTTCTAATAAAACGTTGTTCATATTCTGCTGAGACATCTGAAAAAAAGTTTCGATTTCTTTAAAACAGGTGTTTTTAAAAATTAATATGATTAAATTGTTCAATTTAATTTCTAATAGCTAAAAAACTTTTTGAAGAGCATGTAAAACTCTCAGTGAAAACCAAAAAATCAGATTATTAAAATTTATATAAAATACCTGATTTTTTTTACTTAATAATACAGCTTCTAGTACAAGTGACTTTAAGTCTGCTCCAACAAATCCTGGAGTCCATTTAGAGACTTTTTTAATTAACATTTCATCACAAGATATTTTTGAGTTTTTCAAAATTATTGAAAGAATACTTTCTCTTTCTTCTTCCGACGGAACGGTTATTTCTAGCTCATTTTCAAATCTTTTAGGCATTCTTAATTGCAGGTCAACATCATTAGCAGAACTTGTTGTGGCAATAACCATTATTCCTGACACATTTTCAACATTTTCAATGAACTCAATGAGACTTTTAAAAATTTTTTTCGAAATGTTTTTTTTTTGAGAACAACTATCAATATTTTTAATTAATAAAATACAGGACTCGCCATTGGCAATGTACAATTTTGCTTTTTTTAAGATATTTTTCATTTCAACTTCAGAATTAAAAACATAAAGACTATTGGCTGATATTTCTAATAATATACAACCAGTTTCATTTGCTACAATTTTTACTAATGTTGTTTTTCCACATCCATTCGGACCAATCAATAATAATTTATTGATGATTTTAACTGATGATGAACTAATCTTTGATAATTCAACTGCTTCTTTTAAGGTTTTATGAATTTGGTTGCAGCCACCAATTTCATCTAACTTATTGTTTATTTCAAATTGCTGAAATTGTAAAAGACTAATAATTTTTGAAATTATAACATCTGTGTGTTCATCAATTACAAAAGGTTGATTATTATTGAAAATATCAGTGCTGCTTATGATCAAAATTTCTAGTCCTAAAATTTGGCATGAACCCAACTTTTTTAAAGATAATAATGAATTATTACAAAATGTAAAATACTTAAAAATTGCTTTAATTATTTTGATCAATTCTTGTTGGCAATTTTTAAATTTCTGGACTCCAAAAATATCAGAACACACCAATGTAACTTCAACTTGTTTAGACTTGATAGGGTTTTTTAAAATTTTGAAGTCTTTGAAATCAATATTTTCTAAATGACTAATTTTCTCATAATTTTTTGAAGAATATTTACAAACAGTATCATCTAAATAAATTATGTTTTTAGTATTTTTAATTTCGCTGAGTCCTATTTTTACAATAAGAGAACACTCTGGTTGCACAGTGCATAAACAGTATTTACCATAATTTAATTTTAAAAATTCACAATCTGGCATTAAACATTTTTGTACGTTTAAAAAGCTTTTATTTAAATAAATAGCTTTCATTTTATTAACACTTTTGTAATCTTAGTAAAAGATCATTAATAAAAACTGTAAATATTTTTTTAAAATAATACAAATTCATACTATTACTTAGTTTACAATAATCGTGGTACTAACTTGTCGCAACTTTGTTTTTCATCTAAATGTAAAAACGTTTAAAACTACGACTGTAAATTAAAAGTATTGTAAATAAATAGAGAAATATATGCATTATGAAAATAAACGACAAAAATTTAGCTGCATTTGCTACGTCTCCCACTCCGGTAGATCGTGAAGGATGGCTTCAAAAAAGGGGAGAAATTAACAAGGGTTTCCAAAAACGATGGTTTGTCTTGAAAGGAAATTTGCTATTTTATTTTGAAAAACCAGCTGACAAAGAGCCTTTAGGTGTAATTGTTTTAGAGGGCTGCACCATAGGTAAGTTACATTAACTGAAAATGTAAAAATTACTTAAAATACTTAAAAAAAGAAAGTGTTTTCTTTTATGTAGTTTGTATCAGTTATATCACAATTTTACTTTTTTTTTAAATAGAAAATTAATGTTTTTTTTTTTTTTTTTTGCATTCAGAATTAGCAGAAGATGAAGATCATTTTATATTTAAAATTGTTTTTCACGGAGCTGGAAATAGAAGTTACATTCTGGGAGCCTATTCTCAAGAATCTATGGAACAATGGATGAAGGCATTAGCTTTTGCCAGTTATGATTATATGAAACTTATGGTATCTGATCTTCAAAGGCAATTGGATGAAATGGAAGGTATAAAAATTGCTTATTTTAACTTTAAAAATGAATGCAAGTTTTACATTATCTACAACAGTTCTTTTAAATAACAAACACAAATAGTCATTTCATGAAAAATTTTAAAAATAATAATTGTATTCAATTAATTAAAAATATAATTTTTATCAATTTCAAGACATACCTACCACTTTGGATAATGCTAGTATACAAAGAGTTGGTATCATTAAAGAAAAAAAATCACCTAATCCTCCTCCGAGGCAAAGGCATAATCCTTTTAACAAAAGTTTACCTGTCTGTAAAGAAGGATTTCATTACCAACATCAAAGGTCTCAAAGTGTAAAATGTACATCAGATACTTTTCCAAGGTATTTAATTGATAACATTATTTTTTAAATTTTAATGTATTTTAAATTATGTAAGTTTATATTTGCAATTATAATAAAATTTTATGTTTTCAGCTTTCAAGCTTTTCGTAGTGAATTGTCACAAAAAAACAAAATATCATTTAGAGAAATCCATAATTTGTATGGAAGAAGAATTTTAGCAGATTTTAATGAATGGAAGCATTACAGAAAACAAAATATTCCTATCAAAGAAGAAAATAATGTTAAGGAAGGTCTTTTAATAGCATTATAAATATTCATCACATTATTTAATATTAAGATTACATATACCGCATAAAAGGTTTAAGCTTCATCATTTTCACTATACTATTCCTGTTGGAATATTAATTAACAAAGTAAAAAAGTAAAAATTTTAAAAGTAAATTATGTAATTATTTTACATTTACTACATTAATTTTATTATTAGTGATAAGAAGGCTCAATAAAAATAATTTTTAATTTTAAGTTGTATTTACATCATTAATTCCTAATAGACTATAAAATATGTAATCAAATAAAATTTTTACGTATTATAGAAAAAAATGTTAATGCATGTATATGTATATATAATATGGATATTTATAATTTAATTTATAGTATATATAGGTCAATTTTCAATCATTTTTACAGAAAAAATATTGTTTAAATAACATTTTAATATTATAAATATTTTATTTATACATTGTAATTATTACACTAAAAAATATCACCAAGATTTTTTACGAGCTGGTAGATTGTCTGGCTTGAGTCATTATCGATTCAACTTTATTTGCTGTTTCTCTTAAAGCATCAGGTAAATCGGGTAAATCTAATGTAATATGGGCAGATAGCCTTTTAAAGGTAGACTGAGAATCTTTTTTGTTTCTAAAATGTAAAAAAAAATGTGTACAAAACAATACTTTTTAAAAAATTAAACTATGTAAATTTAAAATACCTTTTGTTTTCTTCAAATTTTAATTGCTGACATAAAAAAACAGATTTCTTTAACAATGATTGAATATTTTCAAAATTTTTTTCTGTGTTTCCTGTACTTTTAACAGCACTGAAAATATGAAAGCATAAATTGTACTTAATTTAACTTGCTTTAAAATTTACAGGATCTGTTTATTTTACTTATATATATCTTACATACAATTTGGCTTAAATATTTTATTACCTTAAAGCATATTCCACATCATAACAACAACCTTGCAAATCTTGATGAAGAGCTGTAACTTCTACTCTTTTCTGAACCATTCCTGGCATTGCTTTTCTAACATGTTCTTGTAAACGATAAAATGCCAAGGAAGGCTCATTAGCTATAATATGCATATTTTCTGAAATTCGTTCAGTTCCTATAATATATTTAGTTTTATTAGTGATGTTAAATAAGAAAAGTATTCATACATACATTTTAATAAAATATACAACATACATATTAAAAAGAAATTATTATTAAAATATTAAGAGTAAACTTACCTTTTTTTACCCTAGATTCTAAATCAGGATCATATACTGTTGACATTCTTGAAAATATTTACGTACTAATCTTACGAAATTAATAATTAAAATGTCAATTTGTAAATTTAAATTTACTGACTATATATTAAAATAATTAAAACTTTTTTTTTTTTTACTAAATATAAACTTTGTTGTTAAATTAATGTTTAAATTCATTGACATTTGTAACAGTGTAAAAACAAAATTTAAAGTTAATATAAAATGTATTTTTTGAATGTGATTTTTATAAAAGTTATAAAAAGTAGTTTATGAAAGCTATGTCATATGAATATTTTAAAATGTCATTTATAAGAAATAAATTTGAAATATAATAAAATTGTTACTTGTTCAAGTTATTTCAATGTAGTACTGACAACAAGAGAGCCCAATGTTTACATTTTGTAAAATAAAAATGTTATTTAGAAGGCTTTGGAAATAGCAATGATTACGTTTCTAAATGTAATAAAGAAGGCCTCGCCTCTAGAGTTATGAGTTTTATTACACTTATCAGAGACAAAGTATTGGGTTTACACGTGGTATTTGTAATTTTAATAAATATTTTATTTTTTTGTAATGACTGAAATAAGTTATTGTGGTAACACTACGCCAAAAGACGGTGTAAGTGTACCTCAATTTTTTAGTCAAGGAGACGGTGTTACTTACAACGATTTTATTATATTGCCCGGCTACATTGACTTTGCAGCTAAAGAAGTAGATTTGACGTCTCCTCTCACCAAAAAAATTAATCTTAAATTGCCACTTGTATCTTCTCCAATGGATACAGTTACAGAATCAGAAATGGCCATTGCAATGGCTCTGTGTGGGGGAATAGGTATCATTCATCATAATTGCAGTCCAGAAGAACAAGCCCACGAGGTGAGCAAAGTAAAAAAATATAAACAGGGTTTTATTAGAGATCCGGTTGTTATGAGTCCACATCACACCGTGGCTGACGTTTTCAGAATCAAAAAAGACCAAGGATTTTGCGGAATTCCTATAACTCAAAATGGTAAATTAGGTGGGAAATTAGTAGGAATTGTTACATCGAGAGATATTGATTTTTTAGAAGAAAGCTTACATAACAGTTTAAAATTGGATTCTGTCATGACTAAATTTGAAGACCTAGTTACAAGTAATGCAGGAGTTACATTGCAACAGGCTAATAGCATCTTAGAAAAGTCAAAAAAAGGAAAACTTCCCATAATAAATGATGACCATGAGTTAGTTGCTTTGATAGCAAGGACAGATTTGAAAAAATCCAGGAATTTTCCTAATGCAAGCAAGGATGAAAATAAACAACTACTAGTGGGTGCAGCAATTGGTACAAGGGAAGAGGATAAAGTTAGGTTAAAACTTTTAGTTCAAGCAGGAGTGGATGTAGTAGTGTTAGACTCTTCTCAAGGAAATTCAATATATCAGCTTGATATGATAAAATATATTAAAAATGAATATCCTGAATTACAAGTTATTGGTGGAAACGTAGTGACAGCTGCTCAAGCTAAAAATTTAATTGATGCCGGAGTAGATGGTTTAAGAGTAGGAATGGGTAGTGGTAGTATATGCATCACTCAAGAAGTAATGGCTGTGGGCAGGGCTCAAGCTACTGCAGTATTTAAAGTATCAAATTATGCTAAGGAATTTAATGTGCCTGTAATTGCTGATGGAGGAATATCTTCTATAGGTCACATAGTAAAAGCATTGGCTCTCGGAGCATCTTCTGTAATGATGGGATCATTGCTGGCTGGAACCTCTGAAGCTCCAGGAGGATATTTTTTTTCTGGTGGAGTAAGATTAAAAAAATATAGAGGCATGGGGAGTTTGGAAGCTATGAATAAAAGAGGAAGTGGTACAGCTTCTAACAGGTATTTTCATGATGAGTTAGATAATGTGAAAGTTGCACAAGGTGTTAGCGGAGCAATAGTTGACAAAGGTACAGTATTAAGGTTTTTGCCATATTTACAATGTGGTATGAGACACAGTTGCCAAGATATTGGTGCCAAAAGTATTCAAATGTTGAGACATATGATGTATTCAGAAATTTTAAGAATTGAAAAGAGAACACCAGCAGCACAAATCGAGGGAAATGTTCACGGTTTGTTTTCTTATGAAAAATATTACATTGAAATATACATGACAAAGCTGCTGAAAGTTTTACTTATAACGATTTAAAAATTTTAAGATACTTTTAATAGTATTAAACTTTATGTCTTTAATACATTCCACTTTGTAATGCATTTTCGATTGCAATTATTTTTATTATATTAACTTTTTTATTTTGTATGAATATATTTTCATAAATTTATTCAGTATTTTGTATAAATGTATGTGTGTACATATTTATATATATATTTATTTATGTAAATTACCTTTTAAAAAAACCAGGGTTTCTTATTTGGTTTTGATATATTTTTAACTTTATTTTTAAAATTTTTGTTATTTAATTCTTTCATAAATTTTGTTTAAATAAATGTTAGATATAAAACTAAATATACATTCTTATTTATACTTTATTTGTTGTATTTTTTTTCTATCCTTTACCTTTTTTAAATATTTATAAATTTTTTGAAATTATTATTTTTATCCTATTTAAGTAAAAATAAAAATAAAAAAGTTTTATATTTTTAAAATATTGTTTTTAATATTAGTAAAAATAATTACACATATTTTAATGCAAAATCACTTATGATGAATACAAAATTTGGTAACAAAATAAATACATAATAAATTAATTAATATTTTAACATTACTGAAATTTATGAATTTTTGTGGGATCATAAAAAATTGGCAGACTTTTAGAAGGTTTGGTGTGTTTTACAATGTTTTCTAAGCTGTTAGAGGTGTTATAAGTAAATTGTAATAAAAATTTTGCAATATAAAATAAAATCAAAAGAAAGACAATGGTAACTTGTTGCAAAACGTAATGGGATATTGACATACCTATGTCTAACCAACTCCCTTTATTTTTGATAAGGAATAAAAAATTTAATGCCATCACATTACAAAATAGAAGAACAATAACAAACAAACGTTCACTCTGAATTTTCAAAATACTTGTAATCGTTCTCATTGTACAACATACTACTAAAAAAGGTATGACAGTCTTTAAAATAATTAAGGCAGACATGATAAAAGGCATGAAAACAGTCAAAAAACATCGAACCCATGCTGTATCAAAAGAATTTAAACTACTAATATTACCTAAACCGAAAAATGACAAAAAAATATAAGTAAGAAAAAAATATGCTATTCTAAAATCAGAATAATATGAATGCTGGTTATTTAATGATTTTTCAATTAAAATCCAACAGTATAGATGAATAAAGAGAAACATGAGAAAAAATCCTTCATGAGTTATTGATAATAGAATAAATGGAATGGATAATGTCATAAATACTTCGACTAATTTTTTCATTATCATTTTATCACCCCAAAATAAAAGGAAAAATGAAGCTACAAGTAAAATCCAAGAAATACACTGATTAAACTTTATAAGTGATTGATATTTATTAAAATGATTATGAATTGTGTAATTATTCCAAGTAGAAATTAATATTCCTAATAATCTTACCACAAATAAAAATTTATTGTCATATTTTTTAAATGCTGATACAAAGAACAAACAACATAAACTAATTCCTGATAAAAATGTTTTAGTAGTATTTGGTAAATGACCAACAGTAGGTAGAAGAGAAAAAAAACCAAGAATGATACCTGAAATAACCCATAATAATTTAATCTTTTTCTGAGATTGAAATTTAAATATTGACATTGACCATAATAAAATTACAGCAATCGAAATACAGAGAAACCATCTTTTAAAAAAAGTCATCACTAGTATTTCTATTCCTATTAAAGTAATAGAAGTATATAATAAAATCATAGTTTTATTGATTTTTTTTAAAACTGGTAAAAGTAAGAAAACTTTTTGTATAACAAAGTACCATAATATTTCAGGAAGTATCATGTAACAATAAAATAATAATGGCAATTTTTGAATGAAAATTAAAAATAATGTAAAAAATACTATAGATAAAAATACAAAATTTAATACCTTACTTCTATAAAAACTAACTTCATTTACTGTATCAAAGAGAACCAACAATAAATAAGCAATCCATCCAAGATAACTTAAAGAAATGCACATTAATAATGGAATTTGATAATAATTTTGATAATAATCCAAACCTCTTAAACTATTTTCAATTAGAATTTTACTCTCCAAATTAGCTTCTGAATATTTTTTCAAATTGATTAAATTATTAATAGATTGTAATTTTGAACTTAAAACTGGTAATTTTAAATCCTTGAATGGGAAATGAAGCCAAGATAATGTTTGTTCCTTAAGATTTTGCATTGCTTTTATATATTGGGCAACAATTTGTTTTGCATTTAATTTAATTGCTTCAGCTATGTGCTTGTAAGGCATGTCTAAATATTCTGTGGGCAAAACTCCAATAGAATTTACAGGTATTGAAGATCCTAGTAAAATTGATACTAAGGGGGTTATATCGGCTTGATTAATGTCAGTTTGTTCAGAAGAATCAAAAGGTTTTTTTATACCCGATCCCCAAGCAATAAAAGGTGTATTTACTTCTTCTACAGTTCCAGCTCCATGTGATCCCCAATCAGTCATACCATGATCAGAAGTAAAAATAAAAGTCGTATCGTTATCATGATAAAAATTTTCAAACAAAGTTTCTATTTTCATTACAAGCTCATCGACATTTTTTAAATTTTCCCTGTATTTAACTGAATGAGGTTTATCTGTATGCCCTGAAGTATCTTGTCCCAGAAAGTGTAAAAAGAAAAATATCCCTTTCTTTTCCAAATGTTCTCTATGAGAAGTTGTTTTAATAAATTTTTGAAATTTTTCATACACCCAATTATCATATTCTTTGGTGTCTCCTGAAAAATCTTGTTCATTTTCATATGCATCCACAAAACTACAATTATGTACAAAGTCTTTAAAAAATATATTTAATATGTCCGAGCTGCCCCAAGCAAATGAACAAATGCTCGTATTGAACACAGAATCAAAATTAACAGGATTTTCTTTCCAACCTTTTGTGATGGCAGACGGATCCTCATAAAATCCTGCTAACATAGCAACATGACCCGGTCGAGACTCAGTTGGAACTCGAGTATGAGAAATCCCCCAACGACCACGATACTTAATTATATCTAACATATATTTAGCAACATATTGTTTATTAAATGGATCTACATCAAACAATGAATCCACTCGTAAACCATCTACTGAAAAAAGAACAACTCTTTTCCCAGGCGGTGTGATATGATTACTTTCAGACGGCACCGAAGATAAAATTGGAGATTTGAAATAAATATCAAAAATGGATAATAAAAATATAACATGAATAATAACTCCAAAACCGAATAAATAATGTTTCTTCATTTCATTTTTCTTCATAAAAAAGTTAATAAAATACTATTTGTAGTTCCATGCAACAAAAAAAATAAACAATCTTTTAAAGCAGACGACACTTGAATAACGTACCAACCTACCAAAGTAAAAACTGTTTAAAATGAAATTAAAAGTTTTAAATTAAAGTAATTAAAGTCAAAAAAAACTTTAACAATTATTAAATGTAAATAATAAAATGTATCCATTATTAATTTGTTATTATTTTACTTTAAAATAAAAAAAAAACAAAACAAAAAAAGAAAACGGTTTTTTTTTTTTTTAAATAAGAAGTATATTTCCCGCCAAATTCAAATTTAAATGCTAATATGAAAACTTGATAGTAATTTATTTTCTTTTTGGCAGATTTTATTTTTAAATATTTACTTTTGAACTTTAGGTTTTATTATTTTATTTATTAAAAATAATTGTAAAAATTATTCCAATACATATATAGCTGAGAGGACAATTAAATTTAGCGGGTAAAATTCTTATGTAATTGAAGTTTCTTTGATTTTTACCTTAAAAAAATTTAAAAAATTATTTAATCAAAAAATATATTATTATATTTAATGAAAATTTTAAAAGGAATTTAAACTCACATATTCTTCTCATTTTTTGAGGCTTTAAGATTTTTTCATAAATTTCAAATTTGGGTTCATTTACCGCTTACATTTTTTCATTATCATAAATTTCAAAATTTTTTCTATGATATATCACTTCTTATTTGTTGATAGCCTGTGGTAATAAAATATTTATAAGTTTGTACCTTTTTTTTCCCCCCCTTGTACATTTTTTTAAAGAGGCAAAAGATAAAATTATTACTATTTTTTTTTTTTTTTTTATAATAACTTAATAAATTGCATCATTTGATATTACAAAATATTCGGTGTTACACTCAAACAATTTTTTTATTTTTTTAAAATAAATTAATTTTTATTATATCTTCTTTATTTTTTAATAAACGTATGACCATCAACTAAACCTTCTTATGACCTCTCTTAAATAAAAATGGAAAGTAAAATCAACACAACTTCAATCTTTTTTTTTTTTTTTTTTTTTTTTAAATAAACAAATAATTAAATAAGCTGAAAGGAAAACATAAAAAACCAATAATTATCAAATTTTAATTTTATTATAAACTCAATTAATTTTTTTTTTTTTATTAAAATTATTTATTATCAAAATTATTATTTTTTTTTAATTAAATAAATAAATAAATAGATCTGGTTGAATTTTTTGTGAGAAAAAAAAAAAAAAAAGACAATAATATTATGATATTATACTAATTAATTATACTTTTAACAAATGCCTACAGTTTAATAAATATAACAAAATGATGCAAAAATATTTTTTTCTTTTCTTTTTCTTTTTTTTTTTTTTTTTTTTTTTTTTATAAAACCGAAATACTTATCAACTTTTTATTACTATTATTATTATTATTATTATTGACTTTTTAAACGGTATAAACGTGTGTAAGTATATGTAAATCTTTATATATGATTTAAAATAAATTTTATTACGAAAGACTTTATTTTAGTAATAAATTTCTTCAACCTAACTTTCAAGAGAGAGACGGAGACAGATAGAGAGAAAGAGAGAAAGAAACAAAATTAAATGTTCGTCCCTCTCTCTCTCTCTCTCTCTCTCTCTTTTTTTTTTCCTAAACAACTACTATTTGATTTAAGATGAAGTTTCCCCCGTTTCATCAGCATATAAATAATGCGAACTGTTACCTGCAAAAAAATAAAAAAAATAAAAAAATAAATTACAAAAGAATTTAATTTCAATTTTTTTTATAGAGAGAAAAAAAAAAAAAAAAAAGGAGAAAAAATTAAAACAAATAGAAAACATATCTCTCTCTCTCTCTCTCTCTCTCACTCTAACTTATTCTACAATACAAGTGAAAATTTGTTTAAATTTAAGAAAAAAAAAACAAATTTGATTGTTGATTTTGATTTATTGTGCAACAAAGTGAAAGGCTTGATAATTGCACGTTTCTAAATTTATAACGTACAACCTTTTGTTTAACTTCCCCATATGCAATTAGTTAATTACGGAAATTAAATTACTTTTTGCAAAAAAAAAAAAAATAAAAGAAACCAATTTTAAAACTTTCATGCTTATAAAAGAAAACAAAATACACTAAAAGAAAGAAGGCCAAGGATTTTTGTTTTTTTTGAATACAAAACGAGTTTAGGAGTCACTTTTCAAAAATGACTTCTTAAATTAAAAAACAATTTAAAAGGAAGGTTGCAAATTTTTTTTTTTTTAAAATAAATAAATTAGTATTAATTAGAGAAAATCATGAGAGAGAAGAATCGATATAAACCAGCCGTTTTTTTTTTTTCATAAAATATATTTATTTATTTTTTTTTTTTTTATGTTAATAATATAACCGTCACCAAAAAGAGAAAATAGTCAAAAAAAAAAAAAAAATTAAGGTCAATCTTAACCCTCTCAACTAACTACTAACTTATACTCATTTCGAGATTTTATTATCTGACTGATTGACTGACTGACTGACTGACTGACTGACCTATAAAAGATTTTGTAAATTGTTTTTCATCAGTAAGTTGATTTTCAGTTCCTAATTTAATCATTTCTCCTTTTTTTTTTGAAATTTTATCCAGATAGTAAGTCTTTTCACCTGCTGAAATTAAATATTGTTATTTTTTTTTTTTTTTGGTTTTGATTGCGTTACTCAATAACCAGGTGTTTACAAGATAATTATATATTATTAATAAATAAAAATGAAAAATATATATTTTCCTTGGAAATTCCAAGGTTCTATAAATTGAGGGGTATGCAATATTTATCATCTCATTGACTATGACTACCTTAAAACAACAATAATAATAATAATAATAAACACAGATAATTAAAAATGAATAGAAATAGGAGGAAGACTTGTAAACACCTTTTGGCGGGAGCATGCAACATTATTAAAGCTAAGCTCTATAAAAAAATAAATAAAATAAAAAGAAAAGAAATTATAGTACCTCTAACTTCTCTTTCTGCGGTTAATTTATCTTTAATTATGTATGCAGCAGTGACCAAAAAGAAAATTCCACCAATAACTTCAACAAATGAAGTAGTGAAAAGAGAATATTGTAGCGAGTAATACAATACGCCATTTTTCAACATCGGTATTATTACTTGATGAATGGCTTGACCGAAGATGGTTGGCAAAACAATCCGCTAACTGAAAATAAAAATAAAATAAAAAATAAATAAATAAATAAATAAATGTATATATATATTTTTTTGCAATGCATCTTTATGAAAAAAAAAAAAAAAAAAAAAATGATTTGGAAACAAATGGAATTCATTTAAAAACATGTACGAAACGTAAAACGATTGAGATTGTTGATAGATAAAAAGGTCGTAATTAAAAAACCGAAACTTATTACCTGATTTTTTATGCGTTTCACCAACTTTCACGGCTGAATGATGTCTTTTCATATTCATTAGGACCGTTGATAACCGTGAGAGCTGAAATACGCCGCAAAACCAGATGAAAAGTTTCATTTTTTTAATACTTTTTTATTTTATATAATAAGAAAATGAAAAATTCTTCACTCAAGAATTTATTTAAAACTTTTTCTTTTTTTTTAAATTTATTTTTTAGGCGATGACTATTACAATTTCATTTTTAGTAATTGTTAACAAGTTTTCTAGTCATAAATAAAAAAATTAAAAAAATTTACTTACAGCACCAATAAAATACGGACTTCCAGCATCCCCAAATGCATGAGAAACTAATATTTGAAAAGCTTCTGCTGTTGATCTTCTCGTAGGTATTATTACGTACTGAAAAAAAAAAAATGAAGAGATTTATGCGGATTAGATTATTTATAAAAAACTAACAATTTTAAATTTATTAATAATAAAAGTTATTTCTATATTATTCTTTCGTCGGCATCTTACCAGTAACATATCGGCGACAATAGACCAATTTAAGTTCAAAGAAAGTTCTCCGAAAAAAATAAAAAAAAAACACCAAAAAGTGTTTACTGTTGGCAATAAACTGGCTGCAAATAATAATGGCGCACTGAATAATAATCCAAAACCGCAAATTAAGGGATCTGCTTTAGGATATTTTATTTTAATTTTGCACGCTAACATTTGCCCCAATGGCACTCCAACTAAACCGGAAATCATTGTTATTACTCCAAATGTGAATGCAATGCTAAAAAAAAAAAAAAAAAAAGAAAATGACAAAAAAATTATTCGTTAGTTTTTGAATTTTTATAAATTTAAAAAAAAAAAAAAACAATACAAACTCATTAAGTTGAACATTTTCATTGCCCGGTTGAAGTTTGACCCCTCGATATATAAAATCTGGGCCCCACCAAGCAAGAGCTCCGGTTACAAAAGACACACACATGAAGCCGATGGTTGAAAACATAAAACTTCGACTAAAAAAAAAAAACAAAATTATTACAAAGAATATATTTTTGATTATAAAAAGTTTTAAAAATCATAGATTTTTACTTTCTAATAATATTTCGAATATCTTCTCCCCATGAAGTGACTGCTAAATGTGATTGTCCTTCGCTTTCTCCTCTTTCAGGATCCTTTACAAAAAAACAAATTAAAATCACAGCTATCAATCCCATTACTGGTGTAACTCTTAAGGCCCAATGCCATGAACCAGCCATTCTAGCAGTTTCTGAACCGACAATATACCCTAAACCGCTAAAAAAAAAAAAAAATTTGTCGACTAAGAGATCATAAACTTACACGAGATAAAAATTTATAAATAATTTTTCCTTTTTAATTTAGTATTTTCTTTGTAAAATAAAATAGCCAAAAAAAAAGACTTGTAATAAAACTTTTGTACTGAAATGAAATATTTCTCCTTTAAAAGGAAATTTTTGTTATTTATGTAAAATAAAAAGTACTTTGCTTGCTTAATATTTAACATTGAAAATTACAAAAATGCAATAAATAAATTGGGTTACAAAATTACTAATATTAAAAGTAGTGGAACATTGGACTACAGAATATTAGATTATATAAATATATTAAATACAATATAATTTTAAATCTTACCTTCCGACTGGTATGGCAAAATAAAACAAAGCAAGCATTTTAGCTCTTAAGTCTTTAACAAAGAGATCACTAATTATTGTAGGTGCTATTGTTGAATAACTAGCTTCACCAATACCTACTAAAGCTCTAAGAGCAAGAAATGATGCATATTTCTAAAAAAAAAAAAAAAAAAATTTATAAAAGTGCATGTACATACATTTTTGTATGTAGATAAA